AAATAGCAAATTTTTTCGACCGGGAAAGAATATATTTTATAATTTGTGGCTTTTTTTTTGGTCACAATGCCTGATTGACAACCTTTTTTGTCAAACAAGGCCTTGCGGGCCGCATTAAATAGCATTGCGGGTCGTAATTTGCCCACCCCTGCTTAAACAATACGGACTCACAAAACCCCAGTAATTAGTTCAACTAGTCACACATGCAGGTAGCTTAAATTAAAATGACGAAAACTATGAAGCATTGATTGTAGATATAACTTCAAAAACATCTTCGCCGGTACACCTAAGAACATAAACCCCAACCTCTTACCGATGTTTATGCGGTGTACACTGTACAGTCGACATGGCATACATAGTAGACGCTACCACGGTCACGTGATCTCTGTCCAATCACGTCACACATTTTGTTTATTAACGCATTTATGCACATAAACATTCGTAGGCAGGCACACAAACAAAAACCAACCACACAAAACTTATACGAACGAACAAACCACGTACAGAAACACTTACATGTGTGTGCACAAACATGTGTACATGCTCCAGCTCACGTACAAATGCACACACACACACACACACACACACACATCATACAACTAGGCAGCGGTACAGTTAGAATACAGACACCGGTTGGTGGGCATCGGATGAGGGGGATGATGGAGAGCGGGAGTGTCAGGCAGGCAGGTCCTCATATAATCCTTAAATTAATTAACATTACATCCATATTGATTGTATCCGCAAGGACACTTGCAATTAAGGAAAACAACAACAACAAAAACAATAGTAATAATAAGAAGAAAAAATATTTTTGTTAAACAAACAACAAAAAAGCTACAAAATAAAAATAACAGTGTAAATGAACAATGAAAGCAACAATTTAAAAACCTGTTCTTATTTTTAATTTGATTATTTCTATTTTATACAAGTCTTCACTCCCTTGGCATTTTAATTGTCGCGGTTTTTATTTCATTTTGGAGGGAATAATAAAAAATGTGTTTTCATTATTATTATTATTATTCTTTTTTTTTCTTTTTCTTCTTCTTCTTCTTATTTTTATTATTATCATTATTGGTAGCAGTAGTTGTAGTAGTATTTAATTATTATTTTACTGTTTACTTGGAAAGCAAGGAGACATAGCCGAAGGTGTATGCCGGTCTGCCACTGACTGCCTTAATGAAAACCTTTCTATGGAATGTTAGAAACGTGAAGATGATAAGGATGATAACGATGATGATGGCGGAGTGGACTGTGGTTACGATGATAATTAAGTGAATAGTAATAACGACGATGATGATGTTTAGTTTGTAAAATATAAAGCAATGCGTATGTATGTAAGTATGTTTTTAACACATTCGTGCATGCATACTGACTTATACAGTTATATGCAAAAACATAAACAAATTCACACACATACAGACAGAGAACAAAAAAAGAATGAGAGAGAGAAAGAAAGAGAGAGAGTGAAAAGAACACACACATATTTATAATTAGTTGCCATGTTTCTTTGAACAATGTAGCAAGGCAATGCATGCATTATTGCATGCTTTTGACTCCAATGATACGTCCAGTCCAATGCATTATTTGATGCATCCATGCACATTCTGATGAATGACTTAATGTCTGTGAAGTTTGTGATGTGCGTTATGAGCATTTATTTGTTCTTTACTTCGTTTGTTTGGAATTGTTGAAATTGTCTTATATTTTTGTTTGCTGTCTGTCCTAAAGTTATTTAATATTTTCAAAAATTTCATTCATTTAATTTAATAATCTAAAAATTAGATTAAAACAAAAATTATTAAAATTATTTGGTAATTTTCATTAAGAAATTAACAATTTGCTGATAAATTTATTAATTTAAAAGACAAAATGAAATCACATTGAACAAAAATAATGAACATTCACCTCAAATATAATAGCTTATGCTCACATAACCGCAGCATACACTATACACATGAGAGACGGATCAAACACACACACATATATAAAAGCATTATAAAACAAGATCATAACGAGAATTGAACTTGGGACATCGCGCAACAACGTCGCGTAACAACATCGCGCAACATACCTCAGTAACACTGAACGTTAGACAAAATAGCAAATAACACGTGGAAAAACACACAGCACCGCACACAATCACACAACATCACATAATCACATACAATTTTACACGACGCCACACAGCAACAGCAAACTACACACCAATCAAAACCACCCAATAGCACACAACAACATACGACAACCATACAAAAACTTACCACAACTACACAAATACATACAACATTTATACAACGACCATACAAAAACATACAAAAACCATACAAAAACATACAACAACCATACAAAAACATACAAAAACCATGCGGAACAACACACAACATGAAATCTTACATTCATCAATACTTTGCATCAAAACATCAGCAGTCATAAAACAATATTAGAAGGTATTAACTACCATGGTCATTCTGTATTACACATATAAATGTATTTATTATTGTATTGTATTGTAGAATTTGTATAGCGCTTCTTATGAGTTCTTATATATATATATACTTGTACTACATGCCCAAAAAAACAAACACATACGAATAATACAGTCACAGAGACAACAAGACACACACGACGAAAACACACACATACAAACACAGATGCTCACACACATATAGGATACACACACACGTGTGCATATGTGTGTGTAAATAAAGATTTTAGTTCACTACTGGGTCAAATTTTTTAACGGTTTTTAAATTTTTTTATTTCTTAGAATGAAAATCAAGTTATTGAAAAAAGCGGTGGGCAAATCGTGTTTATCCAACAATTCTTTATCGGGATTATATTTAATCTCTTGCTCAAATTCACATGTTTTAACATGTATGTATGTTAAAACCAAAACATGATGAGTGACACTGAACCGTCAAACATCAAGTAACAAATGGATTAACACTTTGATTTGTCGTTAATTGCACATGTCGGCATTCAGCTGGATATTTTCAAGCACACAGACACGCAGGAACCGCTGCAACAAGCACGAAATGTGGTTGGTTGCAAAAAACAGTTCCCTGCTGTCACCTGATCTGACACTGATCATTTTGCCTATTTCCTTAAGAAATTTAAGGGTGTTGGGGTCCATCGGGCCGAGAACCTCGATGCATATTGGCAAGAATTCCATCGAGGGGAGGGCATTCCCATATTTTTTCATTTTCTCGTCCGCTGCCCTGGCCGCGGCCAAACCGCATTCTTTACTTGTCAGGTTTACGTATCGTTCGGCGAGGGTGCCAAGGACCGTAACATCCCACGCCAAACATCTGCCGGCTCTCCAAGGTATTAGCGTGCATCCGTCCGGTCGCCTACCATCCTGCACAGAAATGCCGGATGGTTCCTTGAGAACCGGGATTGAAGCCTTGGAGATGAGCCGACAAATGTAATCGTTTAGCGCTGAGTGACGTAGTTGACGGCCCCCACCCAGGCGACAAACCAAACCGTGGTGCCCAAACTCGTCCGCCTCAGCGCCACATCGGCACGTGTATTTATTCTGAATGACCAGGCCAAGTCTGAAGCCAATGGCAAATCTTACAGACTCGTCGTCAAGCCTGGTGCCCACAGAGGTGTTAGGCCACGATCTCAACCACCCACAGCTGGCAACGCTGGACATGGCCAACAAACGAGTGGTGGAAAAGTCGTCGCCGCATGAAGACAACAAATTCTGAAAGATTTTTTTATATTCTTCGTTCAAAATTTGGACGTGCGTACGGTCCCCCGGGGCGGACGCTGGAGGAAGAATATCGCGGCAACGAAAAAACCGGTGGAGCAGGGAAGACTGTAGGTCGAGAGTGGCAGCGGCAGAAGAATTATAAACAACGGGAGCCAGCTGAACCACGCTAAGCAACCCCAGCCCACCAAATCGCACCGGCAGCTGAGCTTGGGACCAACCACTGTCGGTCACTTGAACATTGGAAATCGACGACAGGGCGGTGCGCAGGGCTCCGTCAAATTCGCCCAATTTAGAAGGGTCAATGTGTTTAGATGTACGCAGGAAGTACATCAATTTGGGCAAACTGAGGGCATTGCGGATAATAGTCAAGGCATCATGGGCTGAAAGACAGGAAACACGACCCAGGGCGAATTCAAGCTCAGAGAGCTTTTGGTCAAAAAACTTTATTTGATAATCGCCCTCGACCAAGGGTGTGCCTAAAAAACTCAGTTCTGATGCACCAACTCTGGGTATTTCAGCCAGCGCATGTGGCACCTGAAATAAACTTTGGCAGTGAAGTTCGCATTTTTTAATGTTTAACTCTAAGCCAATTGCAGCGGAGTTATGCTTCAAATATTCGTAGCTATCGGCCAGAGTTGGACCGTCCGAAGCTATGCTGATATCATCCAGATAAGCGCAAACGAAGGTGGACGAAGCTTTCTCTAAGAGTGGATGAAGAGTTAGTGCGAACAACAAAGGACCAAGGGGATCACCCTGCTGTACCCCCTCGGACGATTCTACAACCCAAGAGTGGTAGCCAAGGGAAGAGACTCCGCCATAAGCAGAATGGCAAAAATTGTACATGTTGGGGAAAAAAAGTTTGACAGCCTCCAACATCGAGTCTCTTCTCAAGGCATTGAAGGCATTTTTAAAGTCCAGTTTCAGAAACCCCCATTGATCGGGGAGGTCGGTGACCAATCTTCGAACCGCATGAACAGCGGCCTCAGCGCCACCCTTAATCCCGACACCCAACTGAGTCGGGTAGAACTTGGTCTTGAGTTCGACCACGACCAGGGCCAAGGCACATTTGCTGGCCAACCTCCTCCAAACGTTCCCGACCGCAATCGGTCTGACCCCTCCGTCTTTCTTATTTAAAGCTATTAGCCGGCCTCCAAAAAAGAACCGGCGGACGGAGAGTGGGCAAGCTCCAGATAGGATCAAATTAATGAATTGGGTTAAGGAGTTCAGTGTGTCGTCAATTGGCAAGGGGCCTGAAAAAACATCCTTAAGGTGCTGGGGTCGTAGGCCATCCAGGCCTCCAGAAGAACCGTTTTTGAAAGATTTAACAGCCCTCAGCACCTCGGCGGGAGAAACGCAACCAGCCGTTGGTGTCAATGCGGGAAAGACCCGCCTGTCTACCGGAATTTTTGGGTGGATAGAACATAATTTATCGAAGGTGGCCGGCGAGCTCTCCGCCATGCCCTCCGGCGAGCAGATAAGTCTGACCGCCGAGGACAGGTTTCCCTGTTCAATACAAGATGACACAGCGTTGATCCATCGATCGGGGTTGTGCTTTTGTGATTTGGCATTATTGAACCCATCAAAGCACAGTACCAGGGTTTCAAGACCAATAGTTGAATATTCGCTTAGACGCTTGTTGACCAGATTGCCCTGGTTGACCCGGCGACCTCCTCTGGAAGTCTTCTGTAAGACGTATGGGACAAAACAGTGGAGTCTAACCCAGTGAGCCGGGTCACCAGGGTTGTTACAAACAGCCGTCAGCAAGGCGTTCAGATCATGTGCGAACTTCTCCCTGTATGGCTTAGGGATATGGTCGTACACCGGTACACATTTCAGCACGGCCGTCAGCTTATCAAAAACACCAGAGTAATCCAGGCCGAGAGGATCACCGGAGACCGATGCGACGGACGACCGTGTGGGCAGCCCAGGCTTGGGGTCGGGTGCGGCACCGAGAGGCGAAGCAGCCCTCGCGCCCGATGGATCAACTTTTTTCCGGGACCCCGAGCATTCCTGTCCTTTCACTTTACCTCCGTGTCGACATAACTTCCCGTCTGGAGTGCTTCTATAGTGGTTAAAGCAGACGGGGCACTGTTGTAACGTTGGAGCCATATGTGATTAAAAACAACCAAGAAACGAGGGAAAGGAAACAAACCAAGTGGGGTGGATGGATGAATGAATAGATGAACAAGCGAATGACCAAAGGAACGGGCCAGCGAACAAACGGATGAATGAGTGAATGATGGGGGAATGAATGAGCTAATTACTGAACGGACGAGTGAGGGAAAAAAAGAATGAATGAGTGATTGAATAAATAAATGAATGAATAAACAACCGAACGAATGGATGAATGAATGAATACATGAATGAGTGACAGAATGAATGAACGAGCGAACGGATGAATGACTGAATTATCTTTAAATATTTAACCAGTGTTTCAACTTTTATTTATATAATTTTTTTTCTTTTCTTTTTTTTTATTGATGAATGAATGAGTGAGCAAATGAGTGAA